ATTCCGCCTTCTCTTTGTTCGGGCTGTGCACCCAGATCAGATCACTCTGAAGTTTAACAGACCATCTCCAGCTGACCATGACATGGTCAATCATCTTCGATTGTCCAGCCCTTGAGCTCGAAGAAAAGCAATCGAAGCGCAACAAAACAGACATGAGGACTGTAGTAAGCACCGTAATCTACATTGCCCCTTTCTGTAAAGAAAAGAAAGAAAAGAAGACGCACGGAAAGATGCGAGAGAGTCATTTGAGTTCCCAGAGCTTTCAAAGGAACAGCTGTACTGCTCGTATGGCACTTCTGGACAAACAAAATCCTCTTCTAGCCCGCAATATTCCAAGATCATGACAGAATGAAGGACGTTCTTTTCCTTCGACTTGCAATGAATTTGTGTTGCCGACGTTGGACCGATTCTGGCGGCGTGGAAATGGGACCGACAGCAAGCATCGGAGGAACTGCCGTTAAAGGACGAGCAGTGACGACGCTTCCTCGTTCACCCCGTCACCTCTTTGATGGAATTATATCCCGCATATCTACTACAGCAGAACATCCGGAGCATCATGGGAAGCCAGAGGTTGCTCGACATCCCGGGATCTTACTCTCGGCCATCTCCATAAGCAATTTTTATCTGATCATCTGATAACTACGGTGGGAAAAGAAACGGACATCTGTCTTCCATCTCGTGTGACGCGACTTGTAAACGTTTCCCCCAAGACAGCGACAAGCGACAAGGATACCGAGGGAAGTACATAGAGGTACATCGCTGTGAGACAGGCGTAGCGTGAGCTTGATCGCTACCGCACGAGCGCATCCAACACAGCAAACACCGATCTCGCACTAACAGAAACCCCTCAACAGAACCTGAGCAGTAACTTGAGCATGCCGACTTCCGGTCCTGTCGTCGGAGGCGTCATGGCAAATGCCTGCATCCTGGGTAGAGGTTTTTTTTGTGCCCGAAACCATCGTCTAACAGACCGGGGTATGGCCCGGGCGGTCAATTGGACTGTTCGTGTTCTGCCATGCGGGTTGGATAAATCGACTGTGTGCCACGCCAAGTTGGCTGTGTAGGGGCCCAACTATACCTCCCGTCTCTTACCATAATTCTCTTGGCTCTCGAAAATTAACCTTTCTAGACAATCTATCTCCTGCTTTGGCCCCGAGTGGTCTGTATCTGCCTTCGTTTCCTTCTCTCTCCCTCTCTTCTTTCTCGAGGGGTAGTTGGAGGACGTTCTATATTGCGAGAGAAGGAGAAGGCGAACGCTTGTGGTTGAGCCGCCGAAGGCGTCATGGCCCTTATTGGTTACAATCTATCCACAATGGCGATTTATCATGGCGCATAGTCGAGTTATCTGGCCCGCCGCTTTGAGTCAGAAATTGACAAAAATGGAGAATGGAAGTTTTCTGGAACTTCAGATAACCTCCACTCGGGCCTGTGGCAGCCATGAGACGATGGGCCTTGACCCTCGATGCCACTGGCGGGAAGGCTCCTCCACAGACTCTACGTCTCCAACCACCTCCTCTGCTTGGCCGGGCTGATCCCTCGCGATCGCTGCCACAAAGCTGACTCGGCTGACAAGCTTTGCTTCGAATTTCTTTGCTGTCAAACAGGATGCCCCTCCACTCTCTGATCAACCCCTCGTCGGCCCTCAAGCAAGGAGGCGCCCTCAGGGCCCTCTTATTGGCGGCCTTGACACATGGCCAAGATCACCGTACGTAATACTGAATCCTACCCTCACCTTCTTCCACTGCCAGATGCCCAGATCTGCTCTTCGGCTCGGTGAGACAAGATGCAAAAATGCCAGGGTATTGTCGGATAGTACCGGCAATAGCCGTCATTTCAGACTTGTTGGAGCCTTGGGAACGGACTCCATCCCTCCTCGGGGCGGGATGAGGATAAAGTGATCCGTGGTCCGTGATTCGGATCCGTTCACGCCGAGACCAGTACCGGGGCATGAGCGGTGGGAATCTAGGCATGTCGAAACTTCCTTGCTGGGATGGAGAGGTCGGGAAGGTAGGTGAATATGTCATGGCGTGGGTTTCAGAGAAAAACTATTTCTCTTTTCTTTTTCTATTTCTCTTCTTTCTTCTCTCCTCACTCAACAACTTCTCATTCTCTTTGTAACACCTACTACGTACTACACTACACTACACTACACTACACTACACTAGCCTTCTTCCGATCTTGGTCTTGTGAGATCTCTTTGGTTGCATCACTAGCTCTAGCCCTCGTCTACCCCCACTGCTACCCTACCTCTCGGCACCATTCCTTCTTTGCTAATGTCTCCCTCCCTCGTCGATAACCACGCAGCGGCTTATATAGCTGCTCCCTCGTCCGCAAAGGCACCAATGATCCAAAAACCAGGCAACACTTTCGGCATGTCTTCCCCAATCGAGTCCAAGTTTCTCTCCCAGCCCAGGGACCTCGGCATTGTTGCCGTAGGCTTCTCCGGCGGCCAGGTATGTGATGCTCTTTTTTTTTTTTTTTTTTTTTTTTCTGACGCGTTTGGCATCCATTGACATGACCCAAATTCCAGTGCAAGCCTGGTGTCGACGCCGCCCCCTCCGCCCTCATCGAGTCCGGCCTTCTCACCCAGCTCCGCGAAGAGCTCGGCTACAAGCTGCACGGCGATGATGAGGTGCACCTCTACACTGACCTCGTTCCCAAGGAGGACCCGCCTCACCGCAACATGAAGAACCCGCGCGCCGTCTCCAACGTGACCAAGCGCATTGCCGAGCAGGTCCACTCGCACGCCAAGGAGGGTCGCCTGGTTCTCACTCTCGGTGGTGACCACAGCATTGCCATTGGCACCATTGCCGGCTCGGCCAAGGCCATCAAGGAGCGCCTGGGACGCGAGATTGCCGTGATCTGGGTCGATGCCCACGCCGACATCAACACCCCCGAGACCAGCGGCAGCGGCAACATCCACGGCATGCCCGTCAGCTTCCTCACTGGCTTGGCGAGCGAGGACAAGGAGGAGTTCTTTGGCTGGTTGAAGCCCGACCACCTCCTCAGTGTCAAGAAGCTGGTCTACATTGGCCTCCGCGATGTCGACCCGGGTGAGAAGCGCATCCTCAGGGAGAACGGAATCAAGGCGTTCAGCATGCACGACATTGACAAGTAAGCCAACTCCCCGGCGAATGACATGAGTATGCCCGGAGCATCTTGCTAATCATTACCCCTTCCGTATCAGGCACGGCATCGGTCGCGTCATGGAGATGGCCCTCGGCCACATCGGCAACGACACCCCCATCCACCTTTCGTTCGACGTCGATGCGCTCGATCCCATGTGGGCTCCCTCCACGGGAACCCCGGTCCGCGGCGGTCTCACTCTCCGCGAGGGCGACTTCATCTGCGAGTGCGTGCACGAAACGGGAAGCCTTGTCGCTGTCGATCTTGTCGAGGTCAACCCTACCTTGGCGGCTCCCAACGACGTTGGCGCACACGAGACTGTTCGCGCTGGTTGCTCCTTGGTCAGGTGCGCTCTCGGCGAAAGCCTTCTATGAGTGTGACACCTATCCAAAGGGTAGTCAATGGCGGCAGTAAAGGCAATATTTAGTGGGTGAAGAAGAGAAGGGGGGCAGACGAAGGGCCCAACACCAGGAGGCCGCCGCAACGCGGCGTTTTTTTTTATTTTCACATATACGACATAACAGGACAAATAACGGCAGCATAATGATGTCTCCTATAGATATGGGATGGGACGTCAGGTGTTTTAGGATACCATTGGGGGAATATTTTTGTCTTTTTTTCTTTCTTTCTCAAGAGCTAGCCTGTACATAGACGGCTTTCTTGCGGGCCTGGCCAGTCTTTGGAGGTCAGCCCGGGATATGATGCCTCTGATCATGGAGAGCATACATCGATCCCTTTTGAAACGCAAAAGAACTTTTATTTGCGCTTCTACTTTGCTGGCTCCATCTCTGTCGTTGCCTGTTTTTGACCAAAGCTATTGCAGTTTCTTTAGTCGCATCCCACACCCCCAATTCAGTTCTGTTGCACAGACATTAACTCGCAGATGGCCGACATCGGACTCTTCGGTCCGGCACCGCACTACGGCATGTTTAGCAGCTTGTCAACGGCGCCGTCACTGCAGTGTCCGGGCTCCTGCGCCGAATAACATGTCTGAACATCCACCGACGAGTGTGCGAAAAGGTAACAACACTGAGGCGGGGGGTTATCTTCAGTTCCTCGCTGCAATGGCGCGTCTCATCCTTCATTATCGATAACGCTGCCCCTCCAGACGGAGACGGGAGCCAAGCCAAGCCTCCGTCTTTTAAGCGCCGAGATCACCGTTCCCGTCCGCTGTCACTGCGCTGCCCTGCCGCTGTTCCGAACGATGGAGTCCTTGACAACTCACTTTCGAGCTTGGACAGACAGACGAAACTGGGGACTGAGGTCGGTGGAAGGTTTCATAGCTGCATATATCATGTATATCTGGAATACTATGTGTCATGGATGCAGGCCAACAATGATGCCCGTCCGTTTCCATCACCTCCCAGCCCGTTCAATTTAGTTGTCGTTCGGCTCGCTAAAATCTCCCAGCCACGGGAAACCGGCCGTAGCAAGTTTCAATTTCTACCCCACTGTCGTACCAGGCAGGCTGCAAGGTCCCAGACTCACAGGACAACAACAGCAACACCATCGTCGACAACTTCAACAATAGCTGTGTTCTAGTTGATCGATATCTAATTCTTTATACCAGAGACCATAATCGGTTACTTCAACGACAGACGACTAATTGATAACCCTTACAATCCGGTTCTTGTCATCGTCTGCCAAGCCCAGTTCTCAACTATAGTTGAGGGCTAACAACAGCCTCGATTTCACGGAATTACGCTACAGAGGCAGGCATCTTAAAGCAAAGCTGTCGCGCGTCCACACATCGACAAAGTGAAAAGTGCATTGATACGACGTGAGAATTGGTTGTGCGCTTCCGGGTCTAGACATTGACCACAAACGCCTGGCTGGCCCCTTGCGGAAAGATCTCTACAGAAGAGCTGGAAGCTGAAGTCTGGCAGGTGGTGCTGTGCAACGAGAAGTCAGAGTGTCTTGGGAAGGGAGTCCGTTTGGAAGTTGGAGAATCATCCTCAGGACGTGCAACACACCGCGGCGGTTGTGTGGGTTACTGTCTAGTGTCGAGGGGTTCCGGGCTGGCGACCACGGAAAGGGTTCAAGAAAAAAGATCTTGACGTCCAAGGTTGCCAGCATTGTTGAGGGAGAAAGCTCGGGGGGAACCAGCATCTTCACATTCAGTCGACAACCCATCCAATTCCCTCTATCAGTCGTCGGTCCCCAGACTCAATTGTCATTCAACTCCAAGGCCGTCATTCTAAAAAAAAAATCATCAGCGAGCCCAGCCTTTCGCCAACCATGGCATCAACAGTAACGAGCGATTCACTCGTCTACGACCGCTCCCGCGGCATTGGCGGCGACGGCGGCGTCGGCGTCGAGCGAGTACACAAGTACCACTGGCCAGCCATCCAGCTCAACGTGTGGATGCTCATCATGCTTATTGCGGCTTGCACCATTATCGGCGTATTTGCGACGTTTATTGATGTGCAAAACATCCTCCTGCTACCTGTACCATGGTACGTTTGCTGTCAAGCTTTCCTCCCTCCCTCCCTCTCTTCATTTGACATGCCCATCCCAAACCACCACTAACATAGGTAACCAGGTACTTCCCCTACTTCATCACCGTCTCGTCTCTCACGATCCTCTTTATCGCTTTTCTCCTCGCCCTCATCTTCCAGCGCCGCTTGCTTCCGTCCATCGTCATGATCGGCGGCTTTATCCTGTTCGTCCTCTGGCTGGTGGGATTGATCGTCATTAGCGTGCAGCTCTGGGGTCCCAACGGCAGCGTCAATTCGAATTGCAATTCGTTTGTCTTTGGCGCCGACCCGCAACCGACGGGCCAGACTCTCGTCACACTCGCCTGGCTGGAGCAGAGGAGTATTTGCCAGAGTTGGTATGCGGTTTTCTCGTTTGCACTGGTCGGGACGGTGTTTTTGGTGTGGATTATGGTCATTGCTTATCAGGTTTTTGCTGATGATAGAAGGTAAGGGGGAGGGAGGTAAGCCAGGTGGGTGAAAAGGAGGTCTGGGATGTTTTTGTTATGACGCGAGCGAGCTATGGTGGTTTATTGCACACGTTTGTGTTTCTCGGGCGCTCGATACATAGGTAAGGTAAGAATTGGAGGTGGGATGATGACGAATACGAGGTTTGGATTCAGATACGGACATGATGGAAATGATTACGACGGGAAAATACGAAAATTCTAGTGTAATGCACCAGAGATACAAAACGAAAGCTTAAGACGAGCCCCCGTTCTCCTCCATCGCTAAACCCTTCTCAACTCCTTCCAACTCAAGCCAAAAGCCTCCCTCCATCCGTGCCCAAGCACCTCCCCGTCACATAGCGGTCCCTCATGAGATAAATATACGCCTCCGCCACGTCCTCGGGCGTGCCCACCGTTCCCGTCAGCGTCTGCTTCTTGAACCCATCCAGCAGCTGCTCCAACTGCTCCCCTTCGCCAAACGCACTGAACAACTCCGTCTTCACCGCGCCGGGGCTGACCAGATTGACCCTCGTAGGCTTCAAGTCCACCGCCAGGCCTCTCGCCAGTCCCTCGATCGCGCCGCACACGCCCGCTACCACGCTCCATCCAGGGGCGGGTTTCTCCGAGTTGGTGCCGCTAGTGAAGGTGATGCTGCTGTAGACCGAGTGGTTGAAGTACTTTTCCGTAGACAAAAGCTTGGACAGGATCAAAGGAGCCGTGAAGCGCACGGCGGAGGCCCTCGCGTAACCCTCGGGGGTGATCTGCCCGATGGGCGTCAAGGCCAGCGCGTCGCCCGCGGTGAAGACGACATGGTCAAACTTGTGTCGGCCTTCCAAGGTGGCTTGGTCGAGCAGTTGCGTGAGGTTGGCCTCGACGGTGGAAGGGTTCGAGAGGTCGCAGGTGAAGCCGGTGAGGCGGGGGACGCCGCCCTCAGCTACAGAGGTGGAGGAGGGCACGTAGGCGGGGGAGGAGCGGAGACGGTCCAGGGCTGTGGAGAGCTTGGAGGAGGAGGAAGAGGAGACGGTCACGAGCAGACCGGCCTCGAGAGAGGCCTCGGAAACGGCGAAGCCAATGCCAGAGGTGCCGCCGAGGATGAGGACGCGCTGGTTGGCGAGCTTGGAAGCGTATTTAAGGCCGGAAGCGGAGGGGGCTGCCATTGTGATGGATGACTATGTGATTATATATCTTATAAAGGGTTGATAAGAATTATCTGGGAATATATCAAAACGGAAGGAGAATGAAAGATTGTCGAGTCGAGGATATAAGACGAAGATGTATTGTGATGGGGACCAGCTTCAATATATACCAGGTCTGTATAATACTTAGTATACATATACCAGGACACCCCCCAAAACGGAAGTCCCGGTTAGGATGTCTCGGTGTTAGTGCTCCCCGCAGGCGGGACCCATACAAACCCCGCATGCACTATACTGTACCCCAAATCATAACGCAGGGCCCAGAACTTCACTTTTCCGCCCGCAAGTGGAAATCAATTGTTAGGCCCACCAGACTTTCGTAGCTTAGTTTTCAGCTTCGCACCAAAGGATTTCGATGACTGGAACCTTATATCTTGCAATTCCGCTTCTTTCAACCTCCACGATACAGCTAGCCTACTTGCTTATACGGATGTGGTTGTCAGACGGCAAGTCAACTTTGTTCAGCTCGGCGTCTTGGGGGAGTTGAAGGGCCAATGCTCTCGAGAGGGTTGGGGTTGAATTGAAGCTGAATGGACGGTGTTAACGGACATAGGGAGTATATTGCATATTAAGTCGCCAACAAGGGTTCAAATCGTGTTGCAAGTTCGTGACAATGTTCACCAGCGGGAACAACATCATACCGCAGCCCTTTGCCTCTTCAGCTTCTTGAATCGGGAACCTCGGTATCTCCACTCCTTTCGTTCATCAGCGCGGCATTAACTCCCCACGCTTCATCGTATAACACAGCAATAGGTCCAACGTCGACTGGGCTGACTAATCATCCCGCTTACAAACACTCGGTCGGTGAACATTGTCGTTCGGTTTTTCGGTGACCTCAAGACGTTCGGCGATCTTTCGGTGGTCTATTCGGAACCGACATGTTTGGGGAAATGTGAAAAACACATTCGGCCCGCCACATATAAATGCCACGGCTGCTTAGAATTGGTCAGGGGCAGAGATCGTTTCGACGTCCGCGCGAATTGCTGGTTCGACATGTACCCAAACACTGATGACAGCATATAATCGACCGAAGACCCTGATCTGCTTGATTGACCTACTAAAACATTTTTTTGCCCACGAACAAATCTAACTACCTTGGGAAGTGAACTTCAACATGACGACCACATGACTCATTATAGTATACAGAGGCGCTCCATCTCTCTTCCGCAAAAGGGCCCAAGTATCTGGGCTGTAGGAGGCATATTCCAAAAGAAAGGCTGATAAAAGGAAGTAACAGCTAAATTCCAACTCGAGCATCCATATCAACCTCAGCTGCCTCCTATTGTTGCTTCGAACTGGCGGCACCAGCAGTCTTGGCGCCGCTGCTACCCATCAGGTCACCGACCCAACCCATGATTTCTCTATCATCGGCTGATAAACGGGCGTACTCGAGCAGCAATCTAAGGACATAAACTTGCATGTCCTCCTTCCGGAGCGCCTTGTCGGCCCACTCCTTTCCAGCCATAGCAATGGCCTCGGCAACCTGGTCATGGCCCTTGACCTTGTCACCATAACCAACAAAATACTCCATGATGCCAAACCAGTCGCTATACCGGTTATCCATGGGGACAAAGTGCTTCCAGGCAGTCAAACGACTGTCGTGCCACTCCCTCCAGACAGTGGCCTTGATGGGTAGAGATGTTGACCTCAGGAAGCCAAGGTATCTGCCCGAGAAGGAGTTGCCGTCAATGTCGGGAAGGTACTTGTAGTAAAACTGGGCCGCCATCTTCATGCCCGGCGTGACAGTGTAGTGCGGGTCGGTGTAGTTGCATCCGAGGCCCTTTTCAGGCGCGGGGGTGCAGAAGAGGTCAACGAAACTAACGTTAGACCATCCCTTGACCCAATCGCCCAGCTTGCCATCCTGTTGGGCCTTGAGGCCATATTCGGACGGGGGCAAGTCGAAGTTCTCTGGGAGCTCAGTCCATGAGATTGCGCGCTCGAGCTTAGTGGCGTTGTTCATGGCCACGAAGCGGTGGCGCTGGAAGGCGCGCCAGTTGGTCTCGCGGTTCTTTCCTCCCGTGGCGACACCACGCCAGACTACGGCATCCTTCTTCTCAGCCCAGGGCACGTCAGCACCCTCTTCGCCCATGAAACGCTCCTCTTCATTCCAGTACATGGGTGCAGGGAGGAGAATCTCATTATTGACGGCCAGCTTGGAGCCGCCGAACATGGGGAACAGCGTATCGGTAGCAGAAATAGAAAGAGGCTCGACAAAGATACCATTGAGTCCCTGAAGATCAGGCTGGTGACAGACTAGGGTGCTCAACGTGTAGTTCGAGACATATCCCTTCTCGGTATGCGGAATGGCAAAGTTGTTATTGATGGTCGGGCGGCGGTCAAAATCGGTCATGAGACTGGAGGTACGGGCTAAACTGTCGGGGGGGCAGCCGCGACGAGCGATGGTCCAATAACTTGGGATACCTGTCATCTTTGTGTTAGATTGGTCCATCCAGTGTCTGATGTGTGAGCCTGTGGCGGACATACCGGTTTTGTCTTCCCAAACCTTCTTGGGCGTAACTTCGTCCTCAGCAGGGTTTATCTCAAGATTGGGCAACTTTGGGTACTTCTCGACCATAATCGCGGCATCTTTCATGGTCCTTGTCTTGTGCGCCGCTGTCATGAACTCATCAATCTTTTCCCAGGGCACCACCATGCGGGGTTCATCCATGGCATTGAGGGCAATGTCCAGATCAGGAACCAAGTGTTGGATGGTTTTGATCAAATCCAGCCAAATCTTTGTCCAGAACCAGTCGCTCCCACTCGAGGCCTGGCCGTCACGGACGGAAATGCGCATCTCAAAGTCATAGGCATCATGACGGATACGGGCTGGCTTGAGCGCCCAGAAAGGCTCCAAATCGTGGTAGATCTGATCCCAAAAGTCTTCGACAATAATAGCATCTTTTTCCTTGGCGAATTCGTACCATTTGTCGAAGCCGGGTGGGGGGTGGCGGCCGCGACGTTCACGGTAAGCGGCAGCAGCGTCAGCGAGCGTGTGTGTCTGCTTTGCTAGTCTGTCACTGAACTCCTTCTCGGCAGCTCGGACGCGAGCGTCGATGGGGTGGTCACCGGTAGCGAAGTCGGCAGGCTTCCATTTCAAAGAACCCTCGTCAGAAGATGCAGGTGCGGTGTTGGAGGTGGCAGGCGGGGTGCCGGAGGTGGTGGTGGGGGTCGCGTCGGCAGGAGAGTTGTTGGCAGGAGTGTTATGAACGGGAGGCTCGTTGGAGGGAGGCTTATCAGCGGGGGGCGGTGATGTGTGATCGATGATGAGCTCTTCAGTGTTGCCATTCCCTTGGGGTACTCCCACGGGCTTTTCTCCGGTTATTGTGCCTTGCCTTGGGGGGCGGCGACGTCAACACTAGGCAGTACGTTGTCGGTACTGCTAAGGTACAAGAGACATAGTATAATGGCGATGGCGGGTAGGATGTACCGCAACAAAAATGTTGGTCGTGGTATCATTATGGCGAAGAGGAGATGGAGAAGCGTTTAGAAGCCCCCATCTACCTTGATGGCGCGATTGTAATGCTCGGTCGGGACGCAGTGTTCGGCGGGTTTGTCGAGATTCTAGGTCGAGAGGGAGGACATGGGATGACACAAGCTGGGCAAGCGAGGTCGAGATGTCAAACAAGTATTCGCCGCTTGCTGGGTGTGTCGCACAGCAAGACGGGTATCGACGCTGGCGTGGCTCTCTTCGGTCCCGTGGCGGGGGGAGAGACAGGATGCGTTGCGCTGGTAGGACGAGAATCGGGACAAAATGTCAAGCGAAGCTTCGTAGGCCAAGAAATATAGCCTGCCGAGTGCTGGGAGCCGAAGTACCTGAACGGCCGGGTCTTCTCACGATGTGGGATGGGTCAGGTAAGGGTGGCCAGTTGGATCAACGTCGGGGAAAGGGAGTGACTGGCAGGACGCTTTTTCCTGAAACGAGGCCCGCTGTACGTGGAATTAGAGTCGGCGTGATCGGCAGGAGAATCGACAAGCAAGGCACGGTTGGTGTAGTATCGAGTGCCGAGCAAATAGGCTATGTAAGGAGAGAAGACTGAAGGGATGTAAACACAAGGATCAAGAGCACAGAAAAGTTGCCACCACCGACTCGACTTAGTGTCTAGCTATGGAAAGTACACTAGTGTAGACCAGAAAGTCGGGTGGAAGCTGAAGAAGGAAGGGTTCGAGAAGATTGGATCATGGGATGAAGCAACCGTGAAGCGTTGCAGATTCTGGGTGGGTTAGTTGCGCGTGGTAAGTACTATAGCCGTTGAGGTAGCAGGGGCCCTGGAGAGCTGGTCTGTCTCAGTCCAGGCAACCATGCCTTCGCGCTGCAGAAGGTATGTCAGGGGAAATGGCACCCAGTGGTGGAGTCGATAGTTCGTCAAGATCAGCTACACTAGGGGCAACTAAGCCAACCAATCAGAAAGAAGCATTGGCCAAGAATGTGGCACCCGAAGCGGCCTCGGTGCTAGCCGTGCGCACGTAGCTGCCGTCCTGGATGCGTACTTCCCAGCACAAGGGGCATTCAGGCTGGACAACTGAAAAAGGCCACAGCTACGGTGGCCCAAGTGTGACCTAGGTCGTTTACAAAATTAGTCCAAGCTTCCAGCTATAGCCAGGTGAAGGGCAAATTACTGACACCCCACGCACATTCACACGCACACTCCTCCCCACTAAATAAATTACTACCTTTCTACACCCTTTTATATTTATATTGCGCAACCAATATTAATTATTCTTAATTATTCCCCGCCGCTACTTTACCACTATCCTTCTTACGTCTTTGCAAAATTCTAATTACATTTACCTACTATTAGTATTATCCCTACTAATTATATTAAAAATACTTCCTCCCTAGGAATTCGATAGAAATTTCCTCCCTACGCTTACTAATAAGTAAGATAATAATATAATATTTATATAATAAATAATATACTTATTTAAAAAATTAGAATAATATAAGATAAGTTTTATTTTTAAAATTTTAATAGAGAATAATGTAAATTAAAATTATTTAAATATAATTAAAAATAATTAATTTTAATTAGAATTAATTAAATTTTAATATATTTATAGGAGGTTAATAAAATTATAAAGAATAGAGTTTAGGAGGTTATTATTCCGAAGATTGAGATTCTGGGTAATATTATTATTATTATATTTTACCTTTTTATAAACGAAGCGCCGGATATTAAAAATAAAGAGTATATTCGGTATGTACACCCTATAATCCTACGCCCCACAAAGTATTATATTGTGCCGGAGAAGTACTTCTTTAGTAGTGTTTATACTTATTATTATTATACTAGTTTAATTAGTAGATATTTATTTAAAATATAAGAGAAGGAGGAAAAGAAGAAGAAGGAATTGGCCGAGGATGTTTGGGTATTCTAAATAAAGAAGAATAAGGATGAGATAATAAAGGAAATAATTCTTAATGAACTAGAAGAAATAGAGGAAATTTTAGTAAAGGATAAGAAGAAACGTAAGGCTGCTAAAACTTTACCCCTTAAGTATAAGAGAGATATTTAAGGGTACGCTATATATATTTTTTTCTTCTACTTGTGCTATATAATATTTCAATTTTTATTGGACTTTACTTTTACTCTTATATATTCTTTTCGTATATAATATATAATGAGTAATAATATATATATATTCTAATATAAATAAAATAAACTATTTTTTTTTTGAATAGATTCTAGTTCGTATTAATTAGGATCAACTAACATTAGTTAATAGTAAACAACTATTTTTGCAAATATATAAATATAGTAGGTATAATATATAATAGATCTGTCTACTAGATAGATATTTCACATTTTAAAAATTAATATATATTTACAATATATATAATAGCAAAGATTTAAATACTTAATATACTAATATAAATATATAAAATATAGTTTTTTATTTTTAAAATAAGAAATAAAATTTAAAAGAAAAAATTAGAAAAATAATATATGATTTTATATAAATTCTTTTTGAATTACAAATTATATTAATAATTTAAAGTCTTTATTATAATATATTTATATTATATATTTAATTATATATTAATTTAATAAAAAAAAATTAAAATAAGTTATTTAAAAAAGGGTATTAAAAATATAAACTTCTTTTTATTAAAAAAAGTAAAGTAGTAAAATTATTTTAAATATTTTAAATAAAAGAGGGTAAAAAATATATAAAAAGTTAAATATTTAATAAATGTAAAAGTTTAAAATATTAATAGAAAGAATATACTACTTAGTATATAGATATATATATATATATATATATATATATATAGAAGAATAATAGTAGTATTATTAAATATATAAATAAATTCAAAAAAATACTTTATTATAATAGAAATTTTCCTTTCTATTAATTCTTTAAATATAATTATATAGAATACTTAATTATAATAGTTATACTATAAATATATTTCTAATATTCTATTTAATATATAGAATATTCTTTTATTTTTTTAATAATTTAACTTATATAATATATATTTTAATTTTATAATATTATACAATTTATAAAAAATTATTTATTCTACTGTTTAAACTTCATATTTTTTAAGAAACGTAGAAATAGTTTTTTTTAAAAATATATAAATATAAAATAATAAAGAATCTTTTTTTTAAATAAAAATCCTTTTTTAATATTAAAATAAATAAAATTTCTTTTTTAAGAAATAAAATAATTATTATATATATAAGCTCAAATTCGTAGAGGGTAGCTTAGAAGAGGGTATCGAGAATCTAGGATTCTTTTTCTTAAAGAAAAATAAAGAAGAAAAAATAATCTAATCTTTCCGGGTGGAAAAAGATAGTAGCTTTATACGAAATTAAATACATAGTTATCATAAGTATATAGAGCGTTTAAAGACGAATAGAATGGTATTGGGTTTGTGTGCGTAGGTAGAAGAATAGTAGTAGTATTGCTTAGTAATAAGATAGTTATAAAAATTCTATTCCTCGAAAGAAACCTTCCTTCTTATATACTTTCTAGTCCTTCTAGTTATTTAATAAATAATCCGTTTATTTAATTAGATTTTTTATTTTTTAAAGAATTTAAAAATAGTTTATTTAGTACCGTACGGTTCAAAACAATTAAGAAATCTATTTTAAAAGTTAAGGGTTTTTTAAAATTAAAAGAACAAAAGGTTCCTTTATTAATAAAAGTCCTTATTTACCCTAGTTAAACCACTATAGTAACTACAACGCTAATTTAAATTACCCCGGGCCGTACCGGTTACCCCCACACCCTCTACGAGGGTTAGGGTTATATATAGTAGAATCTCAACTACATTTTATTTATTTAAATAAAATTAAATAAATTCAACTAAAAATATAGAGTATATATATATAATAAATAATATTTATATAATAACCTTTTATACTAATATAGTATAATATAGACCCGCAAATCCGTTATATATATATAATATTATATAATATATAAATAAGTCTAATAATATACTTTCTTTAAACTTTTATAATTTAAGAAATATAAAAATAAAATATAATTAGCTAATATAAGGAATTACTTTTATTTATAATAATAAATAAAATAAAAAATAGAAAATTTTATAAGAAGAAAAAAGGCTTTTAAATATATAATTATATATAATAGATATATAATATATAGAATTAAAGTATAAATTATAGGGTAGTTTGAATATTATACTTTCAATATTTAAATTAAATATAATATAAAAACTATTATAATAGCTTAATTAAATTAGAATATTATACTTAATTAAAGCTATAATATAAATAGGTAGAGTAATTTAAAAACTTTAAAAAAATTTCTATTATTAATTTAAGATATTAAATTTCAATTATTATTTCTTATAAACAAAACTATAAATATAATATTAATTTAACAATTTAAAGTAAAGAATAAAAAAAAATCTAATACTATTAACCTTTTTATATCTTTTATTTTAATTAAATTATTTTTCTACTTATAATTTATTTTAAAATTTATATATTAGTAATAAATTCTTTAAAAAAGATAGTAATATATATATTAGAATTTTAATTTTAATTATTTATATAAAGAAGATTAAATAAACTAAATTAAAACTCTAATATATAAATAATTATTATATATTATTATATATTAATATAATATAATATAAATATAAATATTAAATATATATATATATATATATTATATAATTTTCTATAATATTTTAAATAATAATATTTTTTATATTAAAAAATGAAATTAATAAAATTATTTATAATATACTATTAAATCCTATGTTCTTTTAATAAATTAGGGAGCCTACATATTATAAAATTCAATTAAGAAAATTAGATTTCTTTAACGAAATAAAACTATACGAGGTGCAATTAACTACCTTTATTTTTAAATAATTACTATTAATTACAATTAAAATTAAAAGACTATAAACATTTCTACCAAATCTATACCTTAAATATCAACTCTCTAATATAGTATTCTACTCCTTT